AAGGTCATCCCATTGATTCTACTGGATAAGCTAGCTTTTTGTCCCTCCCTGCCCCCACCCCCACCCCACAACCACTGTTCTACTTTTCTGTCACTGTTCATTAGTTTGTATTTTCTGCAGTTCTATGTAAATGAACCCTGCTGTGTGCACTCTTTCTTGTCTGGCCCCTTTTACTCTGCATAATGATTTTGAAGTGCATCCAGGTTGTTGTAGCAGTCCTTCGTTTTCAATGCTGAGTATCATTCCATTGTGTGCACGGACCACGGTATTTGTGTTGTTTCCGGGTATTGGCCATGACTAATAAAGCTACTATGAATGAACATTTGTGTACCATTGTCTGTGTGGACATATGTTATCACTTCTCTTGGGTATACATGTGCCTGGGAGGGGAGTTGCTGGGTCAGGTATTGATTTTGATCTTATTGCTTCGATCATCCTTGGTTGCCCTGCCGTCCTGGTTCCCCAGAGACATGCTGCACATTTAACTGCATACTGGGATGTGAGGGAAACTGAGGCCTATGTCTTGCCTCCACTCACAATCAGGAGCATGTATTTGTTGCTATGATGCCCTTGTTCATTGTTCTGAAAATGTATCACTGTTCCAAAAATTTTAAAAAACTTTTGTCTTGCCCTGGCAGGGTAGCTCAGTTGGTCAGAGCATTGACCCGATATGCCAAGGTTGAGGGTCCAATCCCCAGTCAGGGCACATACAAGAATCAAGCAATGAATGCATGAATATGTGGAACAAAAATCTAAATATCTCTCAAGTCAATAAAAATATTTTTAAAAATTTTTTCCGGCAAAGATTTCTAACAGAAAAATAAAATCAGACTGAAATAAGGAAGTAGCAATTAAAATAATTGTTTGTATTTTTTCCAGAATATTCCTCACATAATATATAATGTACTTTCCTTCCATATTCTGGCTAGTTAGTGGGAACGAGGTGAAAGGAGGTAGACGGAGAGCAAGCCGGGTAGGCAGAGAAGGGGTGAGGAGAGAAGGACAAAGGAGGAAAAAGGAAAGCGAGGTTAAGGAGGATAGCTGTGCAGTGCTTGCACACTTGGGTGGAAGACACCTTGGTTATCTCCTCAGGTTGTGGGCATAGAATGGAGGAATCAACAAACAGTGTTAGTTAGGAAAGTGGCCACAAGTAATAGAAAACCTGACTATGGTGGATTAAACGATGTTTAATGTTCTCACATAAGAAAGCTGGAGGTAGCTTGCTGGCACTGGTTAGAGAGACCACTGGCATCTCTCTAACTAGCTTAGTTTTGCCTCTTGATCACAAAATGGTTGCCAAAGCTCCAGTCATCACATATGCATCCAAGGACCGAAGCAAGGGGCAAGGACAAGTGTATCTGTCCCCGTTTATCAAGAAAGCAACAGAATCCCAGAAGCTTGCCCAGCAGACTTTCACTTAAGTCTCAGCCAGAACTGCGTCAGATGGCCACCTTTACCTGTAAGAAAGGCTAGGAAAGCAGAGGACAAGATTGTCATAATCTGTCACTGAAGCTAAGCCCACTGAGACACTGAACAAAATTGGAGTCTTATCCCCAGAGAAGAAGGTTGGAATGGGTATTGCGTGGTATTATGGATTGAATTATGCACCTCTGCCCCCCCCAAAAAAACAATATTTTGAAGTCCTAACCCCCAATACTTTGTGACCTCATCTCAAGATCTTGGAAGTAGGATCTTTGCAGATGTAAATAGTTAAGATGAGGTCATCCTGGAGTAGGCTGGGCCCTTCATCCAATATGTCTGGTATCCTTATAAGGAAGGACAGGGAGGAAACGGTTGTGTGGAGATGGAGGCAGAGGTTAGAGGGATGCGGCCACAAGCCAAGGAATGTCTGCGGCCACCAGAAGCTGGAGGAGGTGAGGAACGATCCTCCCCTAGAGCCTCCAGAGGGAGTCCAGGCATACTGACACCTTGCTTCCTACCCGTGGACCTCAACTCTTTATGCCTAAAACCTCAGAGGCTGGGTAGCGCTATGCCAGCAAGAGGAAAGGAGGTCAACCTTATTCGCTCTCCTTCCCCACATGCCGGCACTCTGCATACTTACGTGCATGTTCTCAGGACGGAAGTGGGTACTATCCTGACCCCTGTTTACAAGTGAGGAAATTGGAGCTCAGAGATGGAAAGGAGATATCCAAAGCCTCCCCACTAAGAGGCCACAATCCTCGCCCTGGTCCAGGGAACCTCAGCACCGCAGCTGTTTCCACTCCAGGCAACTCTGCCTCCCCTCCCCCCAAACTAAAGGGAACCCAACTGGCTTTCCCATTTTCCCAACTTTGCCCATTTGGGGATGATTCCTTGCAAATGTTGGTGTATCCAAAGATCAAATCGCATCATCGTAGCTTTAAGGATTTCACAAAAGAAAAATGCTGCGAAATCCT